GGCTGATTTTTTGACTAGCAGATTTTCTACTCTACGTAAACTTTGTAGAAAAAATTTTAGTGCCATTAAGTAGTCCAGAATTGGAAGTATATATGCAGCATTATTTGAATCTTGCAAAAAAGTACACTTTTGATTTTTCGCCTAATGTCCACTTTGCAAGTCCGGGTCTTACTCGATGAGCTTTATGGTATATTATCAATGAACACACAGTCCATCAATACAATTAAAAGGAGAAAACATTCGTTCTGTAGATGAAGTTTGACAAAGTATAAAAAGATTTTGATAATGAAACAATCAAAATCATGGACTACTATTGCGAATGGTTATTGTATTGTGAGAAAACTAAGCTGGATATATAAACATTTAACGAATGACCAGTGTTACTATTGAATCAAGCGAACGCAAGAAAATCGAAAATGTGATAATTATCTTCATCTTCTTTTTGCGGATCAAGTACAACAGGTTTGAACACTAGTTATTCAAAGACAACTACTTTTTCCCTGCATAAAAGAATATCTATTACTCAGACCGGGAACCGGTGGAGTTTTTTTTACAATCGGATCAGACCAGGTGATTCAAGTACAGAATTCACTGGCGAAGAATTGGTAAGCTTAAATGTGTCAATTAACCCACTATGATCGTTTGATCTCTAATTCAGATTGAGGAACAGTTTGATCAGTAGGGAGCTGCGGGTCTTTCCAGACCCGGATCCGGGTCTAAATTTTTATTTTTTTGTCGAATCTGGATCCAACGTTTTATTTTCTGTCAGATCTAATTATACGTTTTTGTGAATCCACTACTCCCAGATAAGAAATATAGCCACAAGATATAACCGTACGTTGAGTTTTTTTTTCAGAGAGTGGTGAATAAGTCGCTAAAATCTTGATCTTCTACTTGTTCATGTACACGAAGAGTGACACCTATTGATGGAAAATACGTTTGACTTGGATCCCGCAGAGTCTGAAACCATAAAACCGCGGATCCACAGCTCCCTATTGATCAATATCTGCTTTTTTGTCGACTTCTCCATTATCTTTTGCATTCCTAATATGATGAATAGATTTCTTTGACAAAAGATCATAGTTAATAAGCTGTCTTAACATCCATGAGTAATATATCGGCGGTAATTATCATATTGGTTTATTACTGAGTGATGTTCAAATTTTTGATTTTATATCAATGTGTCTGAGTAGACTTGAAAAAATTGTTATTGTAGTACAGAAATATTTAATCAATTAAAACTGATGATATGAATGAATAAAGAACTCTGTAAATTATAAATAGATAACAATTTCAATTGTTGTTTTTAAATAAAATTAGTCTCAGAACTTTTTGAACGATTCTCCTATATAATAGAAAGAATAATGAAAATGATATTAATTGCAATCTTATAATTACTTTTGACAATTTAACTATTTAGATAATTAAATTATTCTTCTTTTCTAAAACTTAATTTTCTATATTTTCAAAACAAATATATTGATAGAATTGATTTTAATTTTTAACACTATTTAAATTTAATATCAATCGATAGAGTTTGATCATTGTATTTAAAATTTTCTTTTTTTTTTTTTTTCATATCAATATTGTATTATATACATAAAACTGAATAACTGCAAACAAAAGAAATATTTAATTCAAAAATTATTATTAACAACATCTTTTTTTATTTGAAAACGATAAAGTTTTTGTAAATGCATTGGTGTATGACGTCGATGACATTGACAACGAAGTATACGAACAAATGTTCGTCGAAATGTTCCATTACATAAAGCATAAAGCATTGGACTAAATTAAATTAAATTAAATTACAACTCGAAAATTCTTTTTCAAAAAAAAATGATTTACTTTATTGTTGAATTAATATAACATAACATATAACCAAAACGTTCCCAATACATAGGAAATCCATGATTAAATATATCTGGTTTTATTGTTGATATAATTATATTTGTATTATAAGGAAGCCATGTTACAATAAAAGCAATTAGAATAGCACTATAAATAAGAATTAAAATGAATAAATTTTATTGTTGAAAGAAAATTAATATTTAACCTTAATGTTTTAGCAGCTTTTTGATCTTTCATTTTTTCTAAACGTCGTTTAACTGTTTTAACACTTCCACATTTTTGATTTGTTATTGTCGATCTAAATGATCCATTTATTTGTTGTTTATTATTTATATTTGAATTATGAATTTGAAGAGATTTTTGTTGTTGATTTGATGATGATAGAATATTTGTATAATTACGAATTGGTTGTCGTCGCCAAGTAATATCTCCAGTATAATTTGTTGAATTTGATGTTGGAAGTGAAGTTGTTGTTTGACCACGTAATCTTGATTCAACATATTCAATATCTTTATCAATAGTACTAATAAATGGTTGACGATTTTGTTGTTGAATAAGACACTCATCAAATGTTGATGATACTGAAGGACAATATGAATGTATTTTGGGTAGTGTAGATTGTTGTTGTTGTTGTTCTTCATTATAAATACATTCAGTTGATAATGGATCTTTACTTCGACGAATCCATGGATCATTAGAAGAATTTATTTTTGTTGTTTCGAATGATTCACAAGTAGAATTTGAATGATTAATAATTCGACATAGTTCATTATTGTTTTTTAATGGAAATGGATCAGTTAAATTTTCATCAATAGTTGGAGATATAACACGTTGAATTTCACTTGAACATTCATCATCTTCATTATTAGTTTGTTTTGAATTTGTTTTATTGTAATACCTTATATTACAAAGATAAACAATTATATAAAATATTCTATTATAATCGAAAAAAAAAAATTATATATCTCATAATAAATGACATTATTTGTCACATTCGAAAGTAAATATTTTATAACTTATCCATTAAGAGCACTTTCACCTCTTCTTTTTTTTTCGCTATTTCTAGTTCTCGAAGAGGATATAACTAATCCGCCGGAAATTTTTACCATAGATAAGAAGATACTTGCTCGAGGAAATTATTTTCGCGATGTTTTTTTGTTTTTGTAGAATTCTGGTTTTTCATAGGAACACGTCGAACTCACTTATGAACCCTCTCTAATTTGTATTCAATAGAGCTGAAAATTGGCTTTCTTGAGATACTTTGTACTTTTATGAGAAAAATATGTAAAAGTTTGGATCGACAACATGAATATTTGTATTTAGAACTCTACGAAATTCAAATATAAAGGTCAAAAAAAGAAAACAGTCGATTATACTTCTCAAGAATACTTTTAAGAATTTCTTGTCCGATCCTACAGATCATAAATAGATTCAATGTAGTCGTATGGAGAAACGACGAAAATTTTGTTTACATTTTTTTTCTTCTTAAATACATGTCTCTTTATTTTAGGTATTCTATCTATTATAAAAGTTTCAGACGAATTGGCTTTGCTCTTGTCAGACACCCAAAAAAAAAGAGCCGAAGGATATCATTAATACACTTGACTGTTAATAACAGCTTTAACGTCGACATATCTCTTTTTCTTTTGTTTCCATATGTGCGTATTAATATATGTCAGTTTCTATCGAAACGATCTCTTTCCAAGCTATCACTTAAGATGATGTCCATTTATATTGTCTCATCATTTCCTCTCTAACGCGCACAAACGCATATACACGCACATGTCATATACATCTTACAGTAAGAAGAATATTAATAATATTCTACTATATAATCAATCATATATGTATGCAGATAAATAAACTGGAAATAATTACCTTTTCCAACAATAGTCATGAAATGTATGAATAAATTTATTTTGTTTTTTCGTATTAGATAATATAGGTTTTTTATTAATAGAATTTTGATTTGATATAATTTTTCCATGTGATCTCTGTGAATCTGTTGATATACTTTCATTTTGTTCATGAATTGATGTTGTTCCAATTGTACTTAAATTTTTTGTTAAACGACTATTAGAATTTGAATGTGTTGTTGTTATTGTTTGTGGTAATGAATTATGATGTTGAGCTTGTAAACGATGTAATTCTTTACGACGTTTTACTGTTTCACGATAAATACGAAAATAAAGTAAACACATTAATGTTACTGGTAAATAAAAAGCAGCAATTGCTGTTGGAATTGCCACTATAATAATATATTAAAATGTTTTCAAATTTATATTCATATTCTATTTCTTACCAGTAGCTTTAGAAGCAAATGGCAATCGACATTCACCAGGTGGTAACCTTTCATCAAATAATGGCCAAGCCCAAATCCACTAAAAAGAAACAAAAACAAAAAAAAATTTTCTTATTCATATTATTATTTAACTTAATGTCTTTCTACCGGTGTCCATATAAAACATGATATAGCCCAGCCTAAAGCAATCATTAGTGATACACGTTTTGGTGTTCGTTTTGATCGATATGTTAATGGACGTGTTATTGAAAAATATCGATCAAAACAAATAAGTAAAAGATTAGCTACAGATGCATTAGACATTGTATAATCTACACTTAACCATACATCACATAAGAATGAATCAAATGGCCAACGATCTTTTTCAAAAAATGTAAAAAATATTGGTATTGAAAAACAACCGATTGTAAAATCAGCTATAGCAAGTGATAATAGAAAATAATTTGTCACTGTACGTAATTGTTTATTAATACGAAATGAAATTAATACAAGTAAATTACCAGCTGTTGTTAAAAAAGATAAAATTGTACCACCGACTATAATTAGAATTGTTCTATATAATGTGCCTGAAGAAACCGTTGTTGAAGTACAATTATTATATAATTGACATAGTGTATTTTCAGACATCTAAAAAAAAAATGAATAAATATTACATAAATTGATAATCCTCCAAGGAGAAAGAGAGAGAAACTTCTAAAATTTAGTAATATAAACCTTCTTAAAGAGTTGATTGATATTACTTAAAGGAAATTCCAGAGAAAAAAAAAACCATTTACATACTTATCTATCATTAACAATAAAATATACTGACAAAGAAATAACAGAAAAAGAAACAAAGAGAGAAATTTATATTTGCATTTATATGAATTGCCTAATGTGATCGCATCTTTTCTTTTTTTTTTTCAAGCATATCATATATGCTATATCAGATCAGTTTACATAGATAGATAAGAAAGAAATCTATGTCTTAAACAGTTATCGTATACCACAAAACGAATATCAATATCAAGATATACTTTGTTATTGAACTAGGACAATGTTTTGTCGCTTTTTTTGTCTCTCAGAAAAACATCGTCCAATATATGGATGACAATTACATGTTCGACTAGCTAACTATTGTATAAATCAGCTTGAAAAAAAAGAAAATCTATTTGTAAACTATCGAGGCTGTGGAATGAATGACTGTTGTCATCTAATAATGCATAGAATTGGCTGATTTTTCTATACATTAGGAAAGAAAGAAAGAGAGAAGCAGAAAAACTGTCTCTTTCAGAAAGACATTAAGACCAGATGAAGTTTTTTTGGGTAATTATTTATTTCTTCTTGATGGTGTTTACTAAAATAGATCTTCCGTCACTAACCTTTCTTTTTTTTTTTTTTTTTTTTGTACAAATATTTCTTCATTAAATGGAAGAAACCTTTGTTAAAACTAATAAGCTATCTTCTCGTTCTATTATACAATTTTTTTCCTGTTTAAGAATCGAATCCTTACTCATTTTTCATAATAAATATTCATATAATTCTTGACTTGTTTATAATATATAACCCTAGATTATTTTTTTATCCCTATTGTGTATCTAGAAACAGAACAATATGAAATTGTAAGGTAAAAGATACGCCTACATCTGTCAACAATCATTTTTTTGGCACCTCATTCATTATACTAAACAAAAAATATGCTTGTTCCATTAAATAATGTGAATATACTATTATCAATGATGTAAGTACTAACGTAATAGTAATATATACGCAATCGTATATATTAATGGACAGTTCTTCTTGTTAAGATAAACTCACCGACCTAACAAACAATAATAATAGTAATCTTGCTCTTTATTCTCAAGTCTGTTCGCTTTCATCTCATGATGCGATCTACTTTGATGTTGACAACAGCAAAGAACGCGCTATTCTACTTTAGACACAAAGAAATGAAAGAAAGAAAGAGAGAGGGAGAGAGAGAGAGACAGAGAAAAGGCAAAAACTCTTTTGAATGTCTCTGCTTGAACGTATATTTCATGCTTGACGATTGTGTTTGATCTATGTGACTTGATAACGGAAATACTTTATATATCTATTTTATATTGATTCGATGATAGTAGTAGGTTTAATATGTCTGTTAATAATGAGCTATGTTTTTTTTTTTTCATTGAGTCAGTTAGTGTTCCGACAAGCACAAATATAAATGTTGTCTGTCAAATGTATTCGGTTGTTATTATTGTTGTCATGAGTGCATGTGTTTTAATAGATAATGTAAAATTCATTTAATAAGAAACGTGCTTAGAACTTTTTTTTGTTTTCTATATGAAATCATATAAAACTACTTTTGTTTTTTAGTTTAATAATCAATATTTGATAATAATATAGAATATAATAGATAGTTAATTTATCAATAAAGGTGTTAATTTGATAACATTGTAATGTCTAGTTGTTTTTCTTTTTCTTGGAAAATCTCGTTTGATAGTTATTTTATGATCGATGATCTGTCAATAATGAACAAAGATTTACTTTTTTTTTCAATAATGTCAATACATAATGATATTTGACAACAATAATCAAAAACTTTATGGGTTTTATATCCTATCATGCTGTCTTTGTCAGTTTCCTATTAATTCTTCAATTAATCTTTAATTAGACATTGTATTTTTATATGTAAAAGGTTATTGTTTTTATAAAGTTTTGAAACATAAAGAAAATAACAGACATTTTTATCAATAATAATAATAATAAATCTTAATAGACAGGCAAATCTTGAAAATATTTTGAGTGCATCAATGTGACAGATGTAAAAAAATAATGACAATGATGATTATAATTTGAAACCATGTTGTGTCTTTTATTTCTTAGAATCTCCATGTTCTTTGTGTTATTTTTTTTTTTTGATAGATTTCAATGATTTATTGTCTAATGACAGGCTATTAGAGTGAGTAATATAGCTGTAGGTGTGCTTAGTTAAGCAAGAAAAAGGAAATCAACAATAGACTAATGAAAATCGATAGCCTTGTTCATTGTTGTTAGTCGTATCATGAGTAAGACTAATACTTTTCTATGAAATAACAAGGGAATTTTTTTTCTTTGTTTACATCATATAAATAACGACTTCTGTCGAATTGTCAAGAGAAAAGTAACCGTGACAGAAACATATAAAACAATAGATATATTAAGACAAATGTTAACAGAAAAAATAACTTCGTTCATAAAATAAAATACTTGAGTACTTTCTTATATTTTTTTTTCTCTATATATTCGATTGTGACATGCCGAAATGAATAAATATATATATATTTGTAATTTATTCAATAGAAAAATCTATTTTGAAAGACGAAAAAGAAATCTATATAATTATATGTTCTACATAAAGATTTTTCTATTGTACTTTCTTATTAATAGTAACAGAGAATTTGACATTATAAGAAACAGATAGTTTTATTTTGTTGATATGTATTTATATATATATTATGTTGAGAATTTTTTCTAGAAATACAATAATTACTAATTACTACATCAATGCTTAAACGAACACAAATTGACCTAAATCTAAAATATTAATATTATTTGTCATATTTGTTCTATAATACTACAAATAATATGAATTAAGTTCGGATGTATACATAGAAAACAAAGTACCGAGATTGAATACCAAGCATAATATCATTTGAAGCAAAAAGAAGTTCAATAAATAAATCTAATAATGTTTTTTAGAAAAATTGCATTTCTTACTAATACTATGCAATAGTAGTAATATATCTAGCAAAGTCAATGTAACGTAAATATCATATCACTATCATTAATCATAAGAATTTCCAATTGGAATTCTTCGTATGAAGAATTCCAATGTGTCCAATGTACTCAAACGTATATAATATAAATTTTTAAATATCAAAATATATGTATCATTGACTATTTTGAACAATGATATGTCAAGGTTTTTAAAATCTATAGAAAATTAAAAGTAAAATACAATACTCTTATTAAGCCATTCCCTCTTCGATAATCGATCTTGGCTCAGGTAAATTTAAACCATATGAAATTTTTAGTATATGCTGAAGCTGTAACGGAGAGACTATGATAAAATTTTTAGCCCTATATCATTATATTTTCAGAAGATATTCAACTAACAAGAATTAAACTAAAAAGTCTCATTTGGAAACGCAAAATTCTCTATGGGCTTTCATTCTATAAGCGTAATTTTTCTTTTAGAAAGATCACGTCAAGGTACCGGGTATGGCAGAACCTTTTTATTCTTTTCAACAGAATAACAAGGATGAAAAATTCAATGTATCGAAAAGCTCTCAACAAAAACTGATACTCTAATTATAAAAGTATTCTTTTATATACTACTAATAATGCTTAATGCAAAAGATAGATTCTGTCATGCCCTACATCTTGACATGATCTTTCCAAAAGAAAGGGTACAATAAAGCTTCTTCGAGAAAAAAATGAAAAAAGACTTTCCACTTTATCTCAAAAAAAAAACATATTTTCCAAGCAGAATATGACAGAATTTTTGAAAAAAAAACGAAATATCAAATAAAAAAAAAACATGTCATTTATAAAACATCAGATCTCAGGCTATCTTCTCCATAGATTTATCTCAATTTTTGATATTTTTTTACGAAAATTGGCTTTTTATGAGATGGCGGCTTATACAGATTTTTCATAGGCTAAATCTAAAGTTCGATAATAATCGATTTCTAAGATTGTCTTTAAATATTTAAGCGATAGTTATAAATATGTCTTTTCATAAATGCATTTCTTACAAATAACTTTCAAATATATTTATACAAACAACATTAACATATGTTATATACTATTATACAGATTCTACATTAACATTCGATATCCAATATAATTCTTTATGTTAAAATGTATATTTATAATAGCTCTTGATTTTTCTTCTATCTATACATAACACGAAACACGATCATGATATTATTTTTCATTAGTATAATGACACATAATACAGCAATAGACTACAGGATCAGGCGATGAGAAAATTGTTTCCGTCTAAGGAGAAATATTTTCGCCTCATGTAGAGTTATACGCATGGTGGATAAAATGACACGAAAGAATAAACACATATGACATTATGATTTTTTTTTTCTTCAAAAATAAATAGATGAAATATTTTACATTTCTATCTTCTACAACTTTTCCGTAGGATAAAAAAAAAAAGCATACAAGAATAAAAATAACTGTTATAGTTAGAGGCAATAATTTTCTAGCTCATCTTCTTCACAGTGAAAATGTGTTTATTTCGAATGTTTATCCCAAGTCAAGTTTCAATCATACAAAATCTTTATAAAATGTTAAATGAAATCGAATCAGAAATCACTTTATTGATACCAAAACGAAAATTTCAATAATCAGTTATTCGAGTTTTATAATTATTTCCTAAATGATCAAGAATTATCAAAGAAAATTTCGAATATTAAAAGAAAATTTTCGAATGAATAAATCTTGAGCATTTCCGATTATGTCCGTCAAGTTGATTAGAAAACCAAGTATACTAAAAATTCCGTATCATTAGTCAAATGTATGGAAAGTTATTTTATCCGCTTCAAGTATTAAAGCTTCTGAATTTGAGCTAATTCGTTTAGAAATTTTTATTAGTATGGGTAATGTAGACTTTTTTCTCGACGACTAGGATTTGATGTATAACGAAATATATTATATGTATATGTGTCTTGACAATTGTCTTGATTACTTTCATTTGCTGGTAAATAAACTTGAAATTTTGTTACATATCATATGAATTTATTCGTAGGAATATTATGTTGATCTTCATCATCAATATATTCATTATTTCAAAGAGTATTACTTCCATTAGAATGATCAAAATCAAGTAACATTGATGGTTTGACAATAAGTGAATTTCGTTGAATAATACTGCGTAGTTTCTGATGTAGTTCCAATGACTTGACAAAGACATGTTGGTATTGATTGTTGATTAACAGTAGCAGTTCGAACTTTAAATTGCTCTTTAATACAGAAATTTCAACAGAATTGTATCGGTCCTATGAGAAAAAAATAAAAAAGAAAAGTTGATTATAATATAAGAACAAGAGTGAGTACTAACCATTTCTTGAATTTGTCGTAATAGAATCGCGTTGTGTTGAAAGTACTATTATTCCATTCTCTGAGATCAATTCTATCATAATTTTAAATTGCAATGGAATTTTTTACCATTTTGGACCAAGGAATGTAGTAGATCTATTCGAACATACCTACGAGTGTTATTCTTTTTTGAAATAATAATAAATCCTATAATTTACTTCCTATGCTAAGAGAAATTGTTTTCTAAGACATACTCTTATAAGCTTACTCAGATTTTCTCTTTCGGAATGTTAATTTAAAACTCTAAAAAGACAAATAAACCGATCGTTACGAGTACAGACACTAGAGTTCGTCGGCTTGGTCCGGATCAGAAAGTTCTAGACCTGACGGGCTCTAACAAATACATTATACATGGCGCAAAAACCACAAGTCCAGATGAATCAACCCGATCTTCGTAGACGCGCCGCCTCTCCAACTCCATGTTGGACAAAATAATGCACTTATCTTTTTTTTTTTTGAAAATTAGGATGTTTGTGAACAATGCTATCACCCACTGATATCAAAAACTTAGACTTTAGTTCGATATACGTTTTGTTTCAATTGGTTCTTACTTAAATGCTTACATATTAGTTGTTCTATGCCTCCAATCGATACTTAACTTTATATGATTTTAACAATTATATTAAACTGAACAAAAGAAATCAAAGATATAAGTTTAATTTATTCTTAACATATAGTTTATTAATATGAAAACCTTATATTATTTGAAAAAATGGATTAAAAGATATATTATAAATGAATTAATAATTTAAAAAATTTATGTTTTGTTCGTAAATACAAAAGAAAACAATAAAATGATGTGCTCTTATCTTCCATGATGTAGCATAGATTAAAAAAAGAATTCTTGTCTCAAATGAGTATGATAAGAAAAATCAAAAGAAAATATTTACTTATATCATATACATAGTAACAACAAAAAAAAGGAGTAAGACATCTCTTTTTTTTTGCTTTTAAATAAATAATGATGATCGGTTTCTCTATTGTTGTTTATTAAAAATATTTTGAAAAAATACATGTATTCGAAAGAAAAAAAAATATATATTAAAATCTATTTAGTTTAAATTAAAAAAAAAAGGAATTATTCATTGTTTTCTTATTTGGCAAGTTTTGCGAATATTAAAAATCCACCAATAGCTCCGATAACTAATCCAGCAATTATAAATCCAATCCAAAGTCCAGTAATTTTCGGACCTGAACTTTTGTATATAGTTTGTCGTGCAGTTGTATGTTCAACATTAAGAGAATTGCTACGTGCACGTAAAACCACTTGTTTTGTATCATATCGACCACGAAAAGCAAGACCATTTGAATTAATAACAGCATCAAGTCGTTCAATTAATTTATCTAATGATGCTTCTTTTAATGGATTTTCTACAGGTCCTGTACGTGGTGGTACATCAAGTAATGTAAATGTAACTAAAATATCATTATCATCTTTATCAACAACAAGATTTGAAATTCTAATTGGTCGTACAAATAATGTAAACATTAATGTTTCAAATATATGTAAACGTAAATAATTTAAATTTTGAAATACAGGATATTGTTTGTCATTTCCTATTTTAAATGATAAAACAGCAAGACTAAAATTTTCTAAAGAAAAACAAAAACAAAAAATTATTATTGAATTATTTTTAAAAAAAAAAAAAAAACTTTCTTACCGCCTGGACCTAAAGCTCGATAACAATCGGCTAATGCAAAATCAATTTCGAAGATTGTCATTGGACGACGACGAAAATTAAAAACAGCTTTGAATTAAAACAGAACAAAATATATTATATATAAATTAGTTTCTATTACCTATTTCAAATGAATACACTGGAACAGAATTGACATAAGATTTCAAAACCATTTTCATTGGAGTTGATTGTTGTACAGGGTCACCATTAATTGTTGATGACCAATACCATTCTCGATGTTGAACTGTACCATTTGGTAAATAATTTTCACCAATCCATACATGACACCAAACACGATCACGACATGGTTTTTCACCGGCATATTGATATGTTATATCATCCATTAAAAATAAATGTTGTGGAGAACCCATTTGTAATACATTTGGGTGTCCATCTACTGTTACAGCATCATTAAAACCTGGATTTATATCACGAACAGTACAGTGACGTGTTGAATGATTATATTGATAGCTGAGACCAACTGCAAAATCATGTATTTCAGTATAATGATGCCATTGTGGTCTACCAAAATTATCAGGAAACCAAAGATCAAAACGACTGAATTGAAATTCAGTATCATATAGACCATGTGTACTAAAAATTGATGCATTTGCTTGTGGAATAAGAGCTTCTGAATTTGAACTAACACGTTCAGGAATATTTGATGGTATAGGTAATGTCGATGTTCGATTTGGACAATATACACCAGCTGGAGTTTCTAATGCTTGACGTTCTTCACGCCGACTAGGATTTGGTGTATAACGAAATACATTATATCTATATTGATCTTGACGACCACCATCATTTCTAATTTGAACATCTATTTGTAATATAATACTTTCATTTGATGGTAAATAAGCTTGAAATTTTGTTACATCTGATACCCAATATGTTGCTGATACAGTTGCTTTTATATCCGAAACATAAAAACATGCTTTAAATTTATTCGTAGGAATACCACGTAAATCTTCATCACCAATATATTGATTACCCCAAAGAGTATTATTTTCATTACGATGATTGAAACCAAGTAAAATTGATGGTTTGATCATAAGTGACTTTGGTTGTATAACACTGGTTTCTGATGTAGGTTCAATGACTTGTCGAAGACATGTTGGTATTGGTTGTTGATTAACAATAGCAGTTAGAACCTCAAATTGTTCATTAGTACCAAAATTCCAATAGAATTGTATTGGTCCTATAAGAAAAGAATGAAAAAAGTAAAAGTTGATTATAATATAAGAACAAGAATGAGTACTAACCATATTTGGAACTTGTAGCAATTGCATCACGTTGAACAGAAAATGCTTGTGACAGTTCCATCATTTCGTTTCCTGAAATCAGTTCCGTAATAATTTCAAATCGTGATGGAACAGTTCGCCATTTTGGATCAGGGATAGTGATAGGTCCATTATTACACCATTGTAGATCTTGTCCATAGATGATACTCACCAATGACAAACAAATAATGATTCGAAATGCTCGTAGTTCTCGCATATTGCTTGTTTCTTTTGAGTCTTATTATTTGAAAATGATACGTTAAATAATATTTTCACAATAATAATAACTCTTCTAAATCGAGTCGTATGATAAGACAAAAAAAAAAGAGATTTTTGTTTGCTTGCATTATCTTTGATAAGTGCAGCGCTAACTAAGAATACCATTTTTTTTTACTCTCTTCTTAACCAGTCATTTTACATGTAAACGATACTGAGTGTAGACTGTTATCTGTTTAATAATAAATTTGTTAACTCTCGTCACCTGCTGTTTGCTCATCTATTTAAAGAATTCTTGAAAAAGAAAGAAAAAAAAAAAGAAAATTTAACTATATTATGCATCCAAGTCAAATATATTGTCAGTATTAGCCTTGATCTATATTAATAACATTGATTCTAATAATAAGTGATTGACACCTGCTATTTTTAGTGATAAGCATCATCAATAGTGTTATATTCATGTCCTTGTTTTCTTATATGAAGCATCCTCGAAATAATTATATATTGAGCAGAAAGATTTGTTCTATGAAGTAAATAGATTGTACAAATAAATGAAAAATGACATTTGTAATCTATGTGTTTTTTTTTGCTTCAATAAAGAAAAACCTTATTTTTCTGATGTATGCAAAGCGAAAGCGAGAAATAAATCAATAGAATATATAAATATTTATTCCATTGATGTTCTGTGGATAATTTCGCTTCGATAATTAATAGAGAATATAACGACAACCAACTCCAAAAGAAGTAATATAAATTGAAGACAATATGTATGCTCCTCGTGCAAAATTCGAACGTATTTATGTTATATCACCAATTAAAATAGTTGTTATTTTTTTAATATGTCTTCATTGTCTTTGTTTATTTATTGCTTTTTTAACATCATTTTGGATTAAAACAAATGATGGTTATTATGGACCATTATTTAGATGTGAAAAATATTTCGATTCAAATAATAATTTAATAATATCAATAAAAACTATATGTCATTTAAATGGTTTTGTTTATGATATTAGGATTTTTTCAATAACTTTAACAGCTATATTAATTATTCTTTCAATTATTCTTGCATTTATTTCAATTCTTATAGGAAGTTTATCATTTATAAAAAATTCATTAACAATTCGTTATCGTTATTGGTTATATACAATTATTTTACTTTTATTTATTTGTATAATTGATTGGTTTATATTAATTTTGATTCCATTAAATTATCATCAACAAATTTATCATCTTCAATGGGCTTATGTTATTCATTGTCTTGCAACTTTATTTATTTCTTTATCATTAATTGCAGCTATTTTACTACATAATACAGATGATATTCAATATATTGAAGGAATTGATGTATCAACAAATGAAAAATAAATACAAAAAAAAAACCTTTTTTTTATTTGTTTGAAATTAGATTTTAAAATAAAAATTTGTATTGAAGATTCTAATTTATTAGCTATTTTCACTAGAATTTAATAAAGAAAAAAGTCCTGTTCGGTATAATTAGATTTTGTTAAGATCAATTAAAAATTTCAACGTTGTTTGTTTGTACTAAAATGAAAAATGATTTTTTTTTAAAAGAGAAGTGTCAGCAAAACAGTATCCGAGCTCGGATTCAATGTTCAATCGAAATAACGCTGACTGAAGTTTACCTCTTACTTACTATATTTCAACTTTTTTTAAAATATGAACATTTGAATATTTTAATTAAATTCTAACTATCATCTTTCTTAAAAAAATTATAATATATGATGATTTCATAAATCTTGAGAGACAACAAAATTAATTTATATGCAAACAGAAAATAGCTCCTAATGGAATATTTTTATATGAGTGATTGAATATTATTGTCTATCTTTTAAATAGAATATTAGTGAATAATAACTTCTCTTGTATTAATATAAGTATCAACATGAGAGTGTAAGAATAAATTTTTCGCAAACGATCAACAAGATAAATTCTCTTATATTAATCTGATTACATAAAAACTCTCATTTAACTATCACGTATTTGTTGTCTACCATTTTTTATTAACTCACTAAGTCTCTTACAAAGAGGAGAGAAGGATCGTTAAGTGATGAAATTAGTCTCCTTTCGAAATTAAATTTAAAATTTCCCAAGTAGTCAATTTGGATATCAGGAGTAGATTGCCATTCAAATTAATCAGTTACTTCTCATTTCGACTGTGCATGGCTGACTTAAAACTCGATATTATCTATTCCATATAGGATCCAAGTACGCAGTGTTCATCTGAAAAGTTTTGTTTGAGTTATATACCAAATAATAGTTCGTTCTTTCCACTATTGAATGACATATAGGAATATGACACAAAATCCTTATTTTTCTTTTCTTTAGATTGTATTGTTCACTCGTATATAAAGTATAAGGATACTCATGACAAAAATTCTCTCCTAGGATTCTACGAAAGGAGTAATCTACTTTGAAGAGCATACCATTCGATAGCTCTTTTGAAGCTCCACAATATGCTGCTATTATATCGTGCTTAATTTGTGGCTAAGATACTTCATTCAAACGTACAATATTTGAGAACGCCAACAATTACTCTTTTTGACTGATATTTGATTTATATTGAACGATTTTATTGCTTAACAACCTCTCTTCTAGTTTTTTTGGATGAAGAATGTGTACACACCAATTTTGAGAGTTCTATCCTTTATGATGACTGAGGCCCGATGGGAAACGAAAGACTTTTTTTTCAAAGGTTAGTAAATAACAATGAAATTTAATGTTTTTTTTTTGTTTGCTTTGCAAATGAATACAAATGTTTTCTTTATCTCAAAAGAAAAGGATTTTTATGATAAATGTTTTTTAATCATAATAATAATCTGTTTTAATTTAATAATTGTATTTTTTAATCGTTGTATTTTTTCATAGAATAATCGAATATTTTCTTGATTAATATCTTTTGTAATTATTAAATATTTTCGAATATAAATTAATGTCCATGATGTATAAATAATCCATATATGATATTTTATTAAATGATAAATTAATTTTTCAAATATATAATTACATAGAATTATATTATTTAAATTTTTATCATTATAAAAATTATTCATTAAATATTTTGACCATTTTTCCATATGAAAACAACGTATTGCACGTAATAAACGAAGACGTATATCAAATGAAAGATTATATTGAATTAATTCTTTATTTGAACAAATCATTAAACGTGACATATCATTATCCATTTTAGTCATTAAATCACAAGCATTTGAATGTGAAAAACCGATATGTGAAAGAAAACTTAGAGCTACATTTAACGATGTCATTTTTCACCTAAAAAATAAAATAAAGATTATGCTTGATTAAGGATAATGACCAGTGAAACTCATGTTAAAGCAGATGACGCCATAAATCAAGAATATTGACGTTTATTTCTATATATATATATATATATATAGAAATCGATTGGTAAACCTTTCAATTTGTGATGGAGGAATTTTTCAAAACCATAAAAAACTTTGCAGACAAGACTTATGTCATTCGGTAGAGTTTCTAATGATTTGTGGGTTTGTTGCTTTTCTCTTTTCGGGTTATGGATATTTTACTGAGTTTCTAGCCTAGTCCAAAGTATGTCTAAAAAAATTTAATTTTGTTATTTCGACCTGGAATTTTGCCTATGTGGAAATCTTCTGAATTTTATCACACATGGAAATTTTTCTTCGTGAAGTATCATATTCTCAACCAATGCGTATTTGTTACAAATGATTCACAAGAAAAGATTCTCAAGTATGACTCTCCGATCGAGTTCATCTTTCAGTCGTATGTAGGGCTCAGTGAGACTGGAAGAGCCCTAAGAGTATTCGTCGCCATACGGAATCCTTCTGGAGTTATAACTATTTTACTGGTTTTTCGACTTGTGTTCTGATATTAGCAGAAAAATTGGAGAAAAGGATATTTATCTGAAACATTGCCAAAAACAAATGTGACTCCCCAATTGAACTGATATTTTACTCATAAGTAGTCCCTAACGAGACTAACTGAAGTCTATAAGAGCTCGTTCCTATGTTCTGTCCTTTCTAAGCTAAAAAGCAAAGTATAAAATTTCAGTCTAAAGAGATGTATTCTTCTTGAAATATTAAATATTTCAAAACAATCATGAATCACAAAGAAAGGTGAGTAAATCTAGTTTTTTCAAAATTCGATATCTCAAGAATAACATATGGTTTTAGGCTGAAGTTTTGTAGTTCAATTATTTCACAAATATCTTGTCAGACATAAAAAATTAGATCATCTTCAGAAACAATACAAAGTTTAATTGCAATCTTTTATTACTCAAATAAGAAAAAAAGAAGTCAAGAAATTAAAAATAATACAAACTATTCGAATTTTTCAAAAATATTTTCTTTTATTGAATCAAAACACATTGCTAAACCAACAATTATATAAAGACAAGTAGCCAGAAAACATAAACCATCTATTGAACCTGATGTTATGTGCAATACTTTAATTAAATATACATATATACAAATAAATCTATGAAAACTTGGTTTTTCTTTTTTTTTTATACATATATAATCACCAAATCCAATAGTAGCTAACGTAATATAACAAAAATAAACTGATTCAGTTATTGTTCAATCTTCAAATTGATGACATATAAATGTTCCCAAATAAACATAACTAATAATAATTAAAATAACAACTAAAACAAATACTTGACTTTCAATTTGATTACAAACATCATCTATTTCTTCATCATTATCATCTTTATAATTACTTAATTGATCATTTGCTTCTGACCAACTTGGATCAACTGATGTTGTACCTACATAATCAATTCTACATTGATTAAATGATTTTTTTTTTGAATGTATTGAACGATTTTGAGAATGTATATGAATACCAATAATGGAATACCAATTAATGCATAACAAATACATGTGATTTGTCCTTCCCTTAAGAATATTTAATAAAAAAACAATGATTAATTTTCTTATCATTATTTTACTTAGGGTTATCCAAAAGTAGTGACGGAGGTTCTTTTTTTTCTTATAGAAAGCTTGAAAAAATTTTCTTTTTTTATGAATAGATAGAGTGTCTTTCGCTCTATCTTTCTATGCTATTTAACCACTATTAAACTAATATCATAATAATAAAATTTCGATAGGAGCTATTTTTGTTGAAAACCAGCTGGTAACATTTAGATCATAATGGATGTGGTATAAAAAATGGGACACTTTTGCATTTCATTCTATTATCACTCCATACGTTGTATTAAAAAAAAACAAAATATACCAGAAGATGCAGCGTGAAAAGCTCTATAATTTGTAAAGTACCACTTATTTTATAGTTGTACTTTTTGTTCTAAAAATGGACAAAACTCTGAGTTACCGAGTTTCGACGTGACGAAAACGAGACCTTTTTTTGGTAAAAAAACGAATTTGGTCTTTTTCTATCTTATCTTTGTATAGTTGCTCGTTGTAAATTGTAGAGCTCTTCACGCTGCATCTTGCAGTGTATTTTGCTTTTTAAAATAAAACATATCAAGTAATAAAAAGATGCGATAGGAGAAACGGAATTAATCTTTTACCAAAAAACAATCTTGTTTTCGCAACGTTGAAATTTGACAGCTCAGAGTTTTGTCCATTTTTAGAACAAAAAGTACAACTATAAAATAAGTGGTACTTTATAAATTGTAGAGCTTTTCACGTTGCATCTTCTGGTATATTTCGTTTTTTCAATACAACATATTATGTGATAATAAAGTGGAATGCAAAAATACCACACTCATTATGAACTAAATGTTACCAGCTGGTTTTCAACAAAAGTAGCTCTTATCGAAATTTCATTATTATGATATTAGTTTAATAGTGGTCAAATAGCATAGAAAGATAGAGCGAAAGAAGCTCTATCTATTCATAAAAAAAGAAAATTTTTTCAAGCTTTCTATAAGAAAAAAAAGAACCTCCGTCACTACTTTTGGATAACCCTAAGTACTATAAAAAGAAAAAAAGGTTAAAGATATATCATTCAAAAATTTCATACATACAACTAGCTAGATGATAATTTTGTAATTCAATGTATTGTTCTAATAAAATAAAAAGAAATGCACTAGGAATACTATAAGCAACAACAATAATAACTAAACCAATATTCGAAGTAAGAAAATTGTATCAATAAACGATAGAATATTCGATTTCGATCATCAATCTTTTCAGTTGTTGATGTAGTAATATGAGATGATCGAGGAATCGGCATTTTACTATAAGCTTTCGGAATTTGTAATTGAAGAAAAGAAATTCTTTTTTGTTTTTTGCTTTGATCAAATAATGATAACATTATAGCCGACAAGAAAAATAATGTATGTTTCTTCTATTGAATAAAGATACTAAAACAAAGATGAATGTCAACAAAACAGAATTGAATAAATAATATATAATTAATAAAATATCCAGAAA